TCTTCCAAATCAACCCACTACCCACCTTCCTCTAATAAAACTACGCAGTCATACCTGGTTCTTTTGGCCCCGACTCAAGCGTGTTAGGTGTAAACCTCATCTTGTTATAAAGACCTACAAGTCACGGTATTTCCCACTTGCTTTTGCAAATACCCCAAGGAAAGCAAGAAACCCAGGCAGTGGTCACACATGCCTTTAATTCCAGCATTCAGAAGGTAGAGGCAGAAAGATCTCTGAGTTTGAGGCCAGCCTGGTCTACAGAGCAAGTTACAGGACAGCCAAGGCTACACAGAGAAACCCTGTCTCAAAAAACAAACAAAAAAAAAAATTAAAGATATGAACTACTAAAAATTACTCATGTTACTTTTAGACACAAACTTGGACATTTTTCAGCTTCTTGGGAATCGTTTTTAAGGTATAACATGAGTAGACACAGCTTATAGAGTCATTCAACTCTACAGGTGAGACAGTATGCTCCTGACTCAATGATGAACACTGCAACAGGCAAGAGAAGGCAGCAGGGAAAGTCAAATCTCTATTGTAAAGAAGTTTTGTCTACAGAGAGACACTATCACGGGGAATTACAAACTGAGAAAATGTCAGGAAGGCAAAGAACAGGATGCTGTGAGAACATGGAAAGGGGAACTGATCTAACCTGTGAATTCACAGAAGAATCTGCAGAGGAAGTGATGGTTAAACTGAGATCTGAATGGAGACCATTCACACTTACATAAAAACAGTCTTCAAAAAAATAAAAGGATAGGTCCAATAAAATAGCTACCTTTGCCACTGTTTTCCTAAAAGAACCTTTATTTTATTTTACTTTATTTTATTTTTGGTCTACTCACTCTGTAGACCAGGCTGGCCTTGAACTCAGAGATCCCTCTCTGATTAAAGGTATACACCACCAACGATAGGCTAAGCACCTTTTTTTTTTTAAAAAATGATAACAAAGTATGTAATAGAGTATTTTAAAGCTAGAAGTTCAAAGTTCTGGGGTGTCTTTTTCATCTCTTATAGCATCCTGCTCAGTATCATTAGTACTAAGGTAGTCACTCAAACCTTTGTTGAAATGATTACTGCAGTGTAATTCTGATGTTCATACTGTCTTTAGTTAAGCAAAACAGATTCACAAACTAGATTGTGAAAAGACGCTTTCATCTCCCTCATATGGCTAACACGGATTCAGTGAAGGCTGGGCATGGTGGGACACACTTTAAACCCAACACTTGGGGGGTAGGAAGGCAGAGGCAAGAGGATCTCTGTGTATGTTCCAGGCCAGCCAGCGCTACATAGTAAGAGCCTATGTCAAAAAAACAAAAACCAGTGAGACAATGTATACCCCAGAGCTGGTAAGTTCTGAAATGCCTAGAATGTACACTTCAGGGACACATGGTGCTTCATTCTCCTTATAATGAAAAACACTAATAACAATTGCTTCATTTTCCTTATAATGAAAAACACTAATAACATTTGCATCTTTTCTCTATTCTTGGTTTTCTGAGGGGGATTAAATTACATATACTGGAGCCAGGCAAGGTGGTGCATGCCTGTTAACTCAGCGCACTGGGAGGCAGAGGCAGGCAGATCTCTGTGAGGTCAAGGCCAGTCTGGTCTACAAAACAAGTCCAAGACAGCCAAGGCTACACAGAGAAACCCTGTCCCAAAGGAAAAAAGAAAAAGAAAGAAAGAAAGAAATTACATATCCTCTCAGCCCCATCTACTGCTGGACTGAGTGCTAAAGCATATTATACTCAATACAGACAACTTCCCTAACACTTGGCTCCTCAGGACCGCACATTTCTTGGAAAGAAAGAGAACACATTATACATACTTCATGAATGCCTGTAATCCCAGAATTTAGAGGCAGAACACAAAGTCAAGGTCAGCCGGGCTATATAGTAACAGCTTGCCTCAAAAATAATTTGGGAGGCAAAGACAATAGATAGTTCGGTGGCAGTGTGTGCCCACCGTACATTAAGGCCCTGGGTTCAATTCTTAGCGTTATCAAACAAAAACAAACTAATACTACTACTCACTTCACACATGTGTTTAGTCTGGTTTTAAATCTCACCTATATTCGGGCTTCTGGTGATACAAATAATTGTGAAACTTCATATGCCTTGGGCTGGGGAATGTGACTCAGTGAAAAGTACTTGCTTAGCATGCGTCATGAGGCCTTGGGTTTTATCCCCTGCATGTGCCCGTGTGTGCACACACACCTGTGCACACACACTATATTTCTTGAAGAAAAAAGTAGAAAACAAAAATATGTCAAAATGGCCTACTATCAAAAATGTAAAAGACCTTCTTTCTACTTACCCCTGAAAGTAAATTCCGCTTTCCTAGAATGATGACTAAAGATGACTACTGACTCTATTTTGTCTGTTTGCTCTGCTGAGACAGGGTCTTACTATATGGTTATATGGTAAAGGGTGACCTCTCATTCTCAACCCCCAAGACACCATACAGGGCAAATGATTAGCTCTATTTTAAAATCAGAGACCAGAAACACAAAAAGTTACTATTATTAGGCCACCCTGGTGACACACACCTATAATGCTAGAACTTGAAAGATACAGTCAAAGAGAATCAGAAGTTCAAAATCATCCTCTGCTACTTGCCAAGTTCAAGGCCATCCTGGCCTATATGAGACCTTATTAAACAAACAAAAAAATTCACTTTTATTCAGAATGTAAACAAATGCAAATTTATTTATGGAAAGAAAAACTTCAATTGCACCAGCTAGAAGACTTTAAATATCTGCCACAAAATGCAAATGTATCTACAAGATACATTTTATACACACGCCCCCAAAGTACCAGAGAACTCAAAGCACCAGGGTGAAGGGAGCATGTATTTCAGACTTGCTTTGGGTTTTTTGTTTTTGTGTTGTGTTTTGTTTTGTTTTTACACAGGGTTTCTCTGCATAGTCCTAGCTGTCTTGGAACTTGCTCTGTAGGCCAGGCTGACCTTTAGCTCAAAGAATTCCACCTGTCAAGGTACATGTTACCACACCCATCTGGCTTTGGATTTCTTTTTTTTTAATAGGGTCACCATATAGCCCATGCTTGCCTCAAATGTGCTAACTGTAGCACAGGATGGCCCCGAACTTGCTGACCACAGTCTTGGCTGAGCACAGAAATCACAACATGAGTGCTAGGATTGCAGGTGTGCATAACCATGGTAGGATGTAATTATACTTTTTTAAAGATTTGTTTTACTTTTTAAATTTCTGTGTGTGAGCTGTAAGTGGGTACCCAGAACCCAGAAAAGGGCATTAAATTCCCTGAAACTGGAGTTACAGGTAATTGTGAGTAGCCTGACATGGGTTTTGGGAAATGAACTGGAGTCCTCTGCAAGAACAGCACAAGTTTTTTAACCACTATGCCATCACTCCAGACCCTAAGTATAAGTTTTAATAACATAAACTTATTTCCTGAGAAAAACCTGGTATTTCCATCACAGCAGGAATGTTGAGATGGCAGCTCCTTTTTTGACAGTTACTCTGAATGCTTGCTCTAACTATAATTTACATCCACTGAGTGTGACAGGACTCTAATGGCCATTACAGCTATTATATTACAAATTATAGTATATGCACTGCAACTCTCCCTCCTTAAAGAAGTGCAAAGAAACGTTTCCAAAGTATCCAAGGTCACAAATGAGTCAGTAACAAAGTTAGGAGCAGCACTAAACCTTCAGCTCCTCACCTCAAACCTTTGCATACTTTCCCAATCCCAAAAGAGAGAACAGAGAAAACCACCTATTTTCAAAAAACTTTGGTAGGACACTGACAAGAATAAACACTAATCAGAAGATTCACCTTGGTCCAAAGAAACAAGCTACATTTGCATACCATTACCTCTTTCCTTGTTCTCAGAGCCACACAGTACAACATAAAGAAACAACTGACTTTGGACATATTAATCCTTGGTAAGAGGTACTCTTCAATATGGACAACTTAGTTTCCCCCTAACTGAACATTTGTAAGTTAATCTTTCATCACCTTCTCACGTTCCGTCCAAGGTGCTATGGAGTGCATTAATTTCCTCACTCTCTCAATAGTCAAAAGTTAAAACAAGCAGAACATAGTTACATTGCCAATGACAAAAAAAAAAAAAAAAAAAAAGCGCCAATAAATTGCTGCGTTTAACGAGACATTTTAAAACACCATGACATACGTCACAGATTTACTGTCAAGTTCTTGGTTGGTTACTTTAAAGTAGCATTTAAGGCATATCCCTCCCTGTTTGGGACATAGCCTGACTCGTTAGACAAGATAAATCTAGGCACGCTCACACAGAACACCTCTAAAGCAACTTAGCTCATTGAAAACATTATTTCAACTCCCAAGTGAGTACTCGGCCCTCTCACACTGCAAGGAACAGCATGACCCTCTTCAAAAATCTCCGCGGAGACAATGACAGCCGTCCTCCCGGGAAGGTTTTTGGAAACAGTGTTGACCCCACGAGAGGCTCCCAGGAAGTGTCAGTGCGGCAGCAGGTGGAGTAGCCCTGCGTGCCGAGCAGGTCCTTTCTGACCTAGTCTCCAAGTCCTCCGCCTCCCTGTCCCGGTTCCGCCTTACGGACCTTTCCAAGCCGCCTCGCGCCCCGGTTCTCTCACCCAGGGCAGGACTCTCGAGCCTCCCGGGAAGCGAGGCAACCTCACACGGCCGCCGCACCTCTTCCGGGGACTGGCAGGCCCGCTCCCCGGCGGCGTCGGAACCCGACGGACCCAGCCGCCGGGAGACAGCCGGCTACTCCCGGGGCATCTCCGCGACCCGGTTCCAGAGCTCCGTCCCCCCGGAGGCACCGCTGCCGCCACCCGCCTCACTCCTGAACCCCCTCTCCTCCAGAGTACCCCGGCGGAGTTACCGGCCCACTCAAAAGTACGAGCGCCGGCCGCCCCCACCGGGCACCCGGGCCTCGCTGTCACCGCCCAGCTCCCGGCCTCGGCCCGCGCCGCCGGCGTGCCCCCGGTGACGCCCGGGTCGGTACCTTGCGGACCCCCTTGTAGATATAGAAGTAGAGCTCCCGGCCCACATTGAAGCAGAGGCGGTCGCCGTTGCCAGACTGGTCGTTGAGGTTTACGAAGGAGACGCGGACAGGGTTGGATCCCTGCGAGTTGAAGGGCACCCGGTTGGGCCGGCTGTACTCCGAGTGCGGCAGCAGCTTGTACAGACCTTCCCGGGTGGTGAATTGGGTCTTAATCTCGTTCATCTCCTTCCCTCCTCCCTCCGTCGCCATCTTGGAAAGCAGCGTTCATCCTGCCCTAAGTGCCCGGATCACGCCCACCGCGCAGGCGCCGTCCTCGGCGGCTCGCTCTCCACTCCCCACCCCCTTCCCCGCGGCCCCGCCCATTCGCAAGCCAGTCCCAGAAGGCGGGCCCAAGCGAAGGGGGCGGGCTTACCTACGGTCCGACTGCGCACGCGTGCTCACCTGGCGCACTCCGCCCGGGGTGGAGGGGCGGGGCGAGCGCAGACTCCTCCCCCGGGTGCCGCCCTCTCAGTACCTGTAGGAGCGGACGCGGAGATTCGGTGAGGCGCGCCGACCCGCGGTGTTGGCGCTCTGGGGCTGCGCTGAGGCGGCCTATCGGAAGGGAGGTCGCCGCCTCGGCCTCGGCCTGGTGGTGGTCCCCACGGCGCTTGAGACGAATAGGGCAGTCCGGCGTTGAGACGCGTGCGTCCGAGCTGTACTCGCCTCCCCCTGCGCTGGGGAGGACACAGCGGGTGGGGTTTGGTGCCGGGTCTGGAGCTTCTCCACGCCTCCCAGAGGCAGTTTGGCACGAGGATTGGGTTTTTATTACACCTCACGGTTTGGTTTGGTTTTGAAGGCGGGGTGGGAAGAAGAGCATAAATGCATAGGACTTGTGTTTTCGAGTCTCACCTGAAACCTAACTGGTGAGCATTGGCTGGTTCTTGAGAGAGGTTATGTCTTCTGTGCATTAGCCGTCGTCACTCCGAGTCTAGAGGAAGGGGCGAGGGTCACGGCCCATACCTTCCGGAGCCAGACATTGAATCTGTGCATGATTTTCTTGCTCAGTAGTTAATAAAGGTGAAGCTAATTAATTTTTAAAGCCTAAGATGGAAACCGAAGTTGTTTGCTTAGTTGTATGAATATTCTTACGAAGTCTAAATACTGAGTGAGGACAAGCACACACATTAAAGTAGGATTAAGCAATCACCATTCAGTGCATCGATTCCTGGGTCATGGCGCTGGAATACAAAGGCGTCTAAAGTAATAAACGTTATAATAGAGTTCTAGAATGGGGGGAAATGTTAAACGAAGAATGAACTGTTCCTGAAAAGTCAGGTCTGTAGAGTAGAAAATAAGTGAACAAGCCCAGTACAGTGGTGAGCGCCTGTAGTTCAGGATAGAAGGAATGCCTAAGCCCGGAAGTTGGAGGCTAGCCCAGCCCACCGAGCAAAACTCCAGCTCACAAAAATTAATTGTAAACAAGGGGAGTGTTGCAAAAAAAAGCTTAAACCACAACCACAAGCAAATACATAAACACTAGAAATTGTGCCAATGATGTAATAATGCATTTGACACTAACATCTTATAGCTTTCATACATGGTGGCCAAAAGAAAAAATAGTACTACAGTGAAATTTTTCTTCTTCTTCGTCGTCTTCGTCTTCTTCTTCTTCTTCTTCTTCTTCTTCTTCTTCTTCTTCTTTTCTTCTTTTCTTCTTTTTCTTCTTTTTTCTTCTTTCTCTTCTCTTCTTCTCCTTCTTCTTTTCTTCTTCTTGAGACAATTTCTCTGTGTAGCCTTGGGTGTTTTTGACTCCCTTTGTAGACCAGGCTAGCCTCAAACTTGTCGCGCGCAGCCTTCGCCGATAAGGATGACGCGGCAACCGAG